CAGCCAATTAACAAATCTAAAAGCGAATTAACAATTGATTCTATCGATGCAAAAAAAAGAATTTATACTCCTGAACAAAAGACTGTAATAAATGACACTAGAAGAAAGAGATTGGCAATAAGGAATTCGCTATAGGTCTAATAGATTGAAAATTTATAATTGTTACATTTATTATTTACATATATGTATGTTATAAATTTCATTATCAAGTTTAAGCGTGTAATAAATAAGGCTCCAGCCCTGCGAAACGGTGCCGTTTTACTCGTATTTAGTCACAGTAGAATTTCAAATAGACATTTACAAAAAGCATTTTATTTAAAATGTATTAACTTTATTAAAATAAAATGAATTTTTATTAAAAAATAAAAAAAAAACATTTAAAAAAAATAAAAAAAAAACATATTTACAAAAAAAAACATATTTACAAAAAAAAAAAAAAACAAAATTAAAAAAAAAAAAAAAAAAAATTAAAAAAAAAAAAAAAAAAAAAAAAAAAAAAAACAAAATAAAAAAAAAAAAAAAAAAACATTAAAAAAAAATAAAAAAAAAACATATTAAAAAAAAAATAAAAAAAAAAACATATTAAAAAAAAATAAAAAAAAAACTAAAATAGAAAAATAAAAAAAATTAAGAATCATTGTTGACTCTTCTAATTTCTTCGATGTGTTCGTTCGATTGTACGAAATTAAAGAGATAATCTAAATTAAAATTAATAAAAAAATTATTAAATTATCCCCCATAATTTAAATTTTTCTGTTTACTAATTATATTACCGAAAATGTTGACATCCTCCTTGCATAACATTAGTGCGAGGTTCTTCAAAGTTTCGTTTTCATTCTTTAATGTTTCATTTTCATCTCTATATGTTGCATTTTTTTTTTGATTTCTTCTTGGTAGTAATCCACTTTCTTTTGAAGTATTGAACAACGAGTTTCACTTCGCTTCAATTTTACTATTAGTGTGTTGACTTGCGTTTTCAGTGAATCCAACATAATAATATGAGTTTTATAATTTTCTAAGTCTAGGTTCTTAGTGTTAAACTGTCGGTTAATGCAACGTTTGAGCCATTCTATGTATTCGTTAACCGCATCTTTAATTTGATCAGGCGTTGATGTTGGGGATTGAAGGATGGTTTTTAAATGATTGGGAATTGCGTTTTTTCTGGGCATTTTTTTGGGGGGTTTGTTTGATAAAAAATTGATTGATTTGTTTGATAAAAAATCGAAAGATTTGATTTTGCTGATTTGCGTTTGACTTATATTTATACATAAAATCTTTTTTTATTATGTCATTTTTAATCTGATAAACTTTTTTTTTTAAGGAGTTGGGCGTTTATTATCGATGAGTAAAAAAAACTCTAATTGGCATTTTGATGTAGACATCTCTATAGCAGAGACAGTGCCCGATCCAGAGTGAATCCTTCTCTCCTGTAATCAATTACAAATTAAATTATTTATATTGGATTCAATT